GTTTCTACACATCATTGATACTTCTTGGTTCCTTAATAGAGGTCAGTCAGCTTAATTTTTACGAAAATTGGGTGATTTTTATAAAGCATGTTTATAAGGCTCCTTAATCTATTTTATTGTACCTACAAAAATAATCTATATTCTGATCATGGAAAAGTACTATTAATTAGAAAGTATATTAATCCAGTAAGATGGAGGTTATTAATTTTCAACAGATACAAATGCATATAATTCTCAATAAATCTGTTTTCTCCTCTTGTGGTATTAGTAATTGTACCCAGGGAATTTGCATGAAACTACATCCCTAGCCCTTTTTTTCTCCTTTGAGACAAAGACTCGCTGTAAAATGTTTAGACTCAGCTCAAACTTGAGATCCTTCTGCCTCAGCTGGGATTGCAGGTGGGTGCCACCCTACTGGACTAACAAAACTTTTTTTTTTTTTAGGTACCGGGGATTGAACTCAGGACCTTGTGCGGGATTTTGTTGTTGTTGTTGTTATTTTGGTGCCAGGGATCAAACTCCGGACCTTGTACCAGTGAGGCAGGCAGCGGAACCACTGAGCTAAATCCCTGGCCCTAAAACTTTTTTTTTTTTTTAAACAGTCAAGATTCCCTTAGAATATACTGCCAGATAGTGTGGTGAAAAATAGACACTCCATGCCTATGAATTGTTAAGTTAGATTTTTGAGACATTCTTGTTATTATTGGAAAACTTCTGGGTAAATTCTCAAAAATCATCATGAACATGCCATTTTCCCTACAGAAGTGAGAGTTTCACAGCAACTCCTAGGATTATTTGGAATGGTAGAATAGACCATGGTCTTCACACTTTTTTTCTGGCCTCCATTACTGGCACTCATCATTTTCACTGCTTTTTTGACTAGATTCCATGAGCAAGACTTAAAGATTGCTCTTTCTTCCTTCTATTCAAGGTTAATATTTGTTGCATGTTCATCGTACACTAAGTTGCTGCAGTCATTGAGAGTTTAGGGATAAATACATCATGATCCCTGCCCATGAGGAGTTTCTAACCCAGTAGAGAAATACGAAGATTATTGCTGTTTAGCAATTATCACAAGACCACAGATGTAATCAGTTCTTTTCCTTTTTGGTATCTCTTGGTCCTTGTACCTTTTCCTCACTTCTGTCATCCTTTCCACAGCTGCCTCTCGTCTCCCTTGTGCCTTTTACATGGTACCTGTGTGCTCACTGTACTCTGTTGTGGGTTTGGGGATGTAGCTCAGTGGAAGAACACTTACCTAGCATGCCTGAAGCCCTGGGCTCAATCCTCAGTACTACAGCAAAACAAAAACATACTTTGTTGCAGAACTTGTTTATTTGATCTCTGAGCACCTTAAGGGGAAAAACTTGTTTTGGTCATCAACACAGTACTGGGTTCAGTAAATCTTGGAATTCTTCTTGAGTGACTAAAGAAAGGCTCCTGTTCAATCCCCAGTACCACAAAAAATTTAAAGAAAAAATGTTTTTTAAATCTAAAGAAAGGCTCCTGGCTCCTGGACCCCGGGGATTTAGTTCAGTGGCACCACGCCTGCCTCACAAGCGCAAGGTCCTGAGTTCGATCCCTAGTACCAAAAAAAAAAAAAAGGCTCCTAAGAGAGCAATATTGAAGCCAATTCTTTTTTGCACAGTCCTGGGGATCGAACACAGGTCTGGACTGAGCTACACACCTCACCCTTTTTAATTTCTTATTTTGAAGCAGGATTCCTCTAAGTCACTAAATTGTCCAGGATGGGCTCAAAATTTCAATCCTCCTGGGCAGGGGATTTAGCTCAGTGGTTATGCGGAGCGCTATGCAAGCACAAAGACCCAAGTTCGATCCCTGGTACCAAATAAATAAATAAATAAAAATTTCAATCTTCCTGCCTCAGCCTCACAGTGCTGGAATTACAAGCATGTGCCTCCATGGCTGTCATATTTGAGCCAGTTCTTAATTATGAGTAAGAGGACTTCCCCAGATAGCTTTGGGAAAGAAATTCCAGTCTAAAGAAACAATTTTGCAGATAGAGGAGATAGTATAGAGTTTACAGATGACTAGGCAGACTTTCTAATTTTCACATGGAGTTTGAGGCACAATTATTAATTGTAGGATGTTATTTATTGTAACTACCCAGAGCCAGCCAGATTGGGTTAGAGTAGAGGGATGGGGATAAAGGAAAGTAAGCAGATGGAGTATGTAGCTCAGTGATAAAGTAGTTTAATCCCCCGTATTGGGTATGGGGGATGGATCTGCTTTCTCCCACAATTATATATCCAGAAGTTAAAAGTTAGTCTTTTACTTAAGTATGTATTTGCATTATCTGGTAATAATTTCTATTGGTCATTTTTTCCTAGAGGAAAGTGATTTTCTTTTTAACCTCTCACTAGAGCTTACCTTGCTGAGATATCTCAGACCATTAAAAAAGAAGTATGTTGGGCCAGGGATTTACCTCAGTGGTTTCGCTGCCTGCTGTGGAAGCACAAGGACCAGAGTTTGATCCCTGGTACCAAAATAAAAACTTTAAAAAAATACAATAGTGAAAATATTTGCACGTGGAAGAAATTAGTGACACAGTTTATACTTGATGTGGTGTTATATTCTGAACTCCATTCCCTACCACCCCTTTGCCCAAAGCAAAGGACTCCTGTTTATTTGTTTTGGAAATACTGGAGATTGAACCCAGTGCCTTTACATTGAGACATCCCCAGCGCTTTTGTATTTTGAGACAGGATCTTGCTAATTTTCCCAGGCTGGGCTTGAATTTGCAGTCCTCCTCCCTCAGTTTCCCAGAGTACTGGGATTATAGGCATGTGCTGCCATGCCTAGCTAGGAATCTTTGAAATTAAAGTCTTTTTTTTTTTTTTTTGGTACCAGGGATCAAACTTGGGACCTTGCGCTTGTGAGGCAGGCACTGTGCCACTGAGCTAAGTCCCTGGCTAAATGAAAATCTTTTAAAATGCAAAATTATGAAATGTTGGTTATTTTAATAACTAAAATTATATAGACTTAGAAGTCATGGTTTTCAAGTGAAAATACACATTCTGACTAAGTTAATTCACTAAAATGCTTTTTTTTTTTGAGACTGAGTCTTGCTATGTAGTCCAGGCTGGCCTCAAACTCATGGTGATCCTCCTGCTTCAGCCTTCCTAGTATTGGGATTACAGGTGTGTGCCCCCATATCTGCATCATCATAGTCTTCTTTTAGGCTAACCTGAACTATATAGCGAGACCCTGCCTCAATCAATCAATAATTAATTAATTTGAGTGTTTCCTAAGTGTTTCTACATTTTTTCCGCCTTACAGATACCTTAGCATTGTCATTTTCTTACTTGTACCATTGCTATTTTTTTCCCTATCGAAAACTGATAATAATAATAAAGGCAAGAAATAGAATGCATTGTGGGAAAGCTAAGGGAAATTCTAAGTACTAGAAATCTTTCTGAGGTCTCAATTTGGAGAACAAAAATTTACACTAGGGCTGGGGATATAGTTCAGTGGTAGAGTGCTCCTTTTTTTTTGTACCTATCTTTTATTGAAAAAATAGTTTTAAGGCTTTGATAATTACAGACGTGGTGATATGTAAGACAAGATTTTACCTCAGTACTCTGAGAAGCTGAGGCAGGAGGATCACAAGTTCAAGCCTAGCCTTGGGCAACTTAGTGAATTAGTAAGAACCTGTTTTAAAATTAAACATACACACACTCAGAAGACTTGGTATGTGTCTTAGTATGAAGGCCCTGAGTTTAATCCCCAGTACACAAGTTCTTGTGTATTTGTTTTTTTAAAGCTGTCTCATTTATTATTTAGACTATTTAAGCAGTATACTTATGTTGAAAATGGAAGCAAATTTTTCAATTGCTTTTAAAAAAATAAATAGTAATTAATGAATTTACTGTTATACTCAAAATCGTCTACGTTTAAGGTGAGAATCTTTGCCAATAGAAAGGCACTGCTTCAAATTGTGAATGGTATTACAAAGAATTGCAGTCTCTTTGTTTTTTTCCTTGAAGATGTTGAAGCTTCCAGAATCTGTAGATACTCTGTGGGGAAATAGTACCATCTGGATATGGTTTTGATTTAGTCTGAACTCTTGCTAGTTTGGCATCAAACTCCAGCTGTAGTTTGATTATTTCATTTTGTTTTTGTTTTTCTTGAGTTACGAATTTTGCATTTAACTCTGAGATTTCCATCTCCTTTTTCTTTATTAGATCTTTGTGCTTTTCATTTAATTCAACTTTTTTTTGCATATCTTGATAAAGTTTGCTTATTTCTATCTTACGTTCTTCCTCTTTGATTTTCATTTCATGTACAAGTTTGGCAATATTATTCTCATACTCCTGTTTGTGAGATTTTAGTTTTTCCCTTGTCATATCAGCATTTCTTTTTAGTTATTCATTTTTATCTCTCAAATTGTGTTGATATTCAGTGGTCTGTTGTAGCCTTTTTATCATATCATGATGAGCAGCACATTCTTTTTTAATTGAGGCTTTCTTTGTTTGCATTACTTTTAATAAACAGGTACTCTTTTCCAACTGAATTTCCAGGATGTTATTCTTTCCACTGGTTTCTATCATTTTCTTTTCTATCTGTGAAAAATCCTGTGTAAGTTTGTCAATATTCACACTGCTTTTTTGTATACATTCTTTGCTACTTTGATCCATGCTTGAGTTGCTGTTGTTCCTGGTTCCTCAAAGTGTGTGTGTCCGTGTCGCGCCCCCCCACCCCCCCCACCCCCACCTCAGTTGCTTTAAAAAATTTTTGATCGGGCCGGGGATTTAGCTCAGTGGTTCCACCACCTGCCTTGGAAGCACAAGGACCCAAGTTGGATCCCTGATACCAAAAAAAAAAAAAATTTTTGATCACACTAAATTATCTAGGCTTGGCTCAAACTTGTGATCCTCCTGACTCAGCCTCCCAGAGTGATAGGACTACAGGGGTGCACCACCACACCCACTTGGTGTATTCTTGCAAACTCCCTTTCTTCTGTGACTCTGAGCCTAGAGACTTCTAGCCAAGCTCAAAGTCAGGAAAAGAGGGTGTGGGCTTCTGGGCTGTCCTGCTCAGCAGCTAGAATGTAGTTGGCAGTCTCCTCCCCTTCCGCACTTCAGCTCTTCACCGTGTGCACTCTGGAATGATAGGCATTTCTGTGTGGAGAGAGCCAGCATGAAGACATATTTGTAAGAACCACAAGTGCCCAGGCCGGGATACAGGAAAACAAAAACTCCAGCAAATTAACTGACCTTATGCCGTTTCCTGACATTTGGCGGTGACAGTGAGAAAGGATTTCGGGTCTCCTCTTTATATGGATTTATCTTTTAAGAGAAGTTTGCTTCTGTCCGGGACAGTTTGTTGTCGTGAGATACATCAGACAATATAATCATGGGGCAAGCTGATGTCTCCAGACCGGTAAATCCGGATACAGTTGGTGAGTAATAAGGCAAAGAAACACCGAATCTTGACAGAGGCACGGCAGATTTATGGGTTAAGTTGAGTAGTTCATAGGAATTTTAAATACAAGAATTTTGATGTTCATAATCTTGGAACAAATGTTTATATATTTGTGGAGAATGAATGAAAATATATAAGTTGCTTGGGGGTGTAGCTCAGTGGTAGAGCACTTAGCTAGCTCTAGGTTCGATCCTCAGCACCAAAAAAAGAAAAAAGGAAAAAAAGATGTAAGTTATTATCACTCAGTTAGATTAATATACCACTGACAGTTTTGTTTTACTTGATCTCCTTGGAGTTTTTTATATTATATTGCTACAAAGTTACCTATCTGTTAATTTCTTCCTCTTGTAGAACTTTATTTAGAATTCAAAGGGATATTTCAGATATTTTGCAGGACTTGGACAATTGCTACATATGTGGTATAGAACTAGAACTTCTGACTTGTAAATACAGGACCATTTTTAAAAACTGAGTTAATTTTTTAGACTTGGCGATACATTTTCCAAGTAAATCTCAGGTTTCCTCCATTGTGTTGGTATTTCACTTTCTCACAAAACAACATCTTGATACACAAACTTTTTTAAAGTTACTCCTTTATATTTGAGGTGTTATATACTATCTCGGAATAGCTAGAGACCAAGCTAATAATTTTGAGTATAGTTCAGAGTTTAAAGATTGTAAGTGATTTTTTTGCTGCAAGCTAATTTTCCTAACTTTGTATGGTTTTATATATAAGATGACGATCATGAGTTGAGAAAATGTTTTAAGTGAATGTTTGTTAAAGAGTTGCTAAATAGGGACCAGGGATTTAGCTCAGTGGTTTTGCCGCCTTCTGTGCAAGCTCAAGGACCTGAGTTCAATCCCCGGTACCCCCCTCCAAAAAAAAAGAATTGCTAAATATGGGCTGGGGATTTAGCTCAGTGGTTCCACCACCTGTCTTGCAAGCGCAAGGTCCTGAGTTCGATCCCCCGGTGCAAAAAAAAAAAAAAAAAGAGTTGCTAAATATAAGCAAGGTAAGGAAACACCTGTAAATCCTTTTTGGACATTATACCATTTTTAAAAAAAAAGATTTATAACTATATATGTATTTATAAAGCAACAGGAAATATTTCCTGTCTTATGCTGCTTTTCTTTTTATTTCTCAGAAATAAAAAAATGTTTGCAACTTTCAGGAAAAGTATAAAAGTGTGGGAATACAGGTGACACTCACAAATGTGACCTATAATTTGATATGATTTAATTTCTTGAGAGCTTATTTGGAGGTTCTAGCACGGGAGTGCAGCTACTCGTATACCCTTGACCGAGGAAATGGTCCTCCTCTATGGGGGGGGTCGTCCTCTCCGACCGAGTGTGCAGCTTCAGGAGGGACGCACATGGAGCAATGAGGGAGGAAGGGGACACCCACCTAGCCAGCCAGATCAGCTGAATCAACCCTGGCGATCAATGAGGTGACAGATGTCACAGCCAGATCGCCCTCACATCCTGATATGATTTAATTTCTAAAGGTAACGTTTTCACCAGAGAACTTCCCAGGTGAAACATCTACAGAAGTATTTTTCGTGTGTCCTGAAACTAAGGCACATGGATCATGAAGTGAGTTATTCAGCAGTAGATTTTTAGGGCTACAATCAGTACATAACTCACTTTATTTTGATTACTAGGGCTGGCTCTTTAGCAATTCAAAACCATTTTAAAAGAAATGTTTCATAAATATAAGAATGTTTCATAAATATACATGGCTGGGGATGTAGCTCAGTGGCACCACACCTGCCTGTCAAGCTCAAGGTCCTGAATTCAATTCCCAGTACTTGAGAAAAAAAAAGTTAAATTCAGTAATCTTCATTTCATATCTGTCAGGCCAGGGATTTAGCTCAGTGGCACTGTGGCTGCCTCGCAAGCACAAATTTAAAACCTGGTACAAAAAAAAAAAGAAAAGGTACAGAAAAAAAAAAAGATTTTCTCTCTCCTCTGCCTTAACATTCCCACTCTGCTTCCTAGTTTTTTTCTTTATTTTCTTTTCATTCAATGATTTTTTTCTCCCACTTGCCATTTGCATAGGAATATATTGCTCTAAAAGACTGTGTTTTCTCTTTCTTTCATTTTCCATCACCATTTGTTTCATTTTGCTCTGAAATTTGTGGTTACAGTTTCTCACCCTCAATAATAATAGGAATAACTTAGAGGAAGGGGAGACTATATCATATGGAGGCAAAATCCTAAGGCAGTTGCTGGGTATGTGCAATTTAATGTAGCTACTTAACAAAAGTACAAGAACAAATAAGCCAGGCATGGTAGCATGTGCCTGTAGTCCCAACTACTCAGGTGGCTAACTTAGGAGGATTGCTTGAGCCTAGAAGTTTAAGACCAGCCTAAACAGACTGGTGAGACCCTGTCTTGATGTGATATTCTTGATGATGATGATAATGGTGGTGGTGATATATGGGTTCATTAAAAATAAAGTACTTCATGAGAATGAGAAAGAAACGGTATATGGTCATCAGACATTTCTCCTATATATAAAACAATAAATCTGAGAAAGGAGGAACAGGCATACTTTTCCCATACTTTTCCTGAATTTTGGATTCAGGGGGAGGTGACAGTGTAGGATTCTGTCATGGAATCCTTAAAAGATTTTTTGTTGCTACTAAACTTGAAATACCCAACCAAAAATTATTGACTTCCCTCTGATCAGTAGGCGTTCTAGATACCTTATTGCCACAGTCATATATTCCTGCTTTCTACTTCCAGGTAAACTTTGGAAAGTTAAAACTTTGTTTTTCAGCCAGACATGGTAGCACATGTCTGTAATCCCAGCACTTGGGAGGCTGACCAGGAGGATCACTTCAAGTTTGAGGCCAGGCTGGGCCACGTAGTTTAAAGCCAGCCTGAATAATGAGGGACCCAGGATTTAGCCCAGTGGTTCCGACGCCTGCCTCAAAAGTGCATGGTCCTGAGTTCGATCCCCAGCACCAAAAAAAAAAAAAAAAACAGATTGGCAACCTAACTATATAATGAGCCCCTGTCTCAAGAAAACAAATAAGAAAGAAAAGAAAGTCGGGTGTGGTGGTGCACACCTGTAATCCCAGCACTCAGGAGGCTAAGGCAGGATTGCCACGAGTAGGAGGCCAGGCTGGGCTACACAGGGAGTTCATGGCCAGCCTGAACCACATGGCGAGACCCTGTCTCAAAAAAAAAAAAAAAAAGGAAAAGAAAAAATAACCTTGTTTTTCTGTGAAAGAATAGCTTATACGGAACTCTCAGTCTGGAATTTTAATCAAAAAAATGTCCAAGGGCTGGATATGTGTAGCTCAGTGGCACTGTGGCTGCCTGGCAGGCTCAAGGTCCTGAGTTCAATCCCTGGTACCAGAAACAAAAAGAGAGTGGCTTATTTTAGCAGGCTTGGTGGCACATGCCTATAATCCCAGCATTCAGGAGGCTGAGGCAGGAGAATCACCATGAGTTCAAGGCCAGCTTGGGCTAATAGTGAGTTCAAGACCAGCCTGTACCAGTGAGACTCTGTCTCAAAAAAAAAGAGTGGAAGCCAGGCATAGTGGCACAAGCTTGTAATCCCACCACTTGGGGGGCTGAAGCATGAGGATCACCATGTATTTGAGGGCAGCCTGGGCTGCCTAGGGAGTTCAAGGCCAGCCTGAACTACCCAGCCAGAGCCTATCTCAAAAAGAAAAAGAAGGGGACCGGGGATTTAGCTCAGTGGTTCCGCCGCCTGCCTTGCGAACAGAAGGGTCCAAGTTCAATCCCCAGTACCAAAAAAAAGGGGGGGGGAAGGGGGGCATGGCAGCACACACCTGTAATCCCAGCACTCAGGAGGCTAAAGCATCAGTATGAGTTCGAGGCCAGCCTGAACTACATAGCGAGACCCTGTCTCAAAAAAAAAAAAAAAGTACATCAGTTTGCCAACGGTATAATGGCATCCTTCTTTCCTCCTTTCCCCTCCCCTCCCCTCCCCTCTTCTCCTTCACTTCTCTCCCTCACATGTTACCTAGCCAGTGCTGTGCCATTGATCTATGCCCCTAGCCAGCCAGAATCACTTAATAATGCACTTGTGGTCAGAAAGCTACATTTTTACCAAAAAAAAAAAAAGAAAGCTATATTTTTTCAGAAGCAGAATCTCAGATTTAACTGTAATGGCAAGTGCAGAGAGACTTCTCCCTGACTATCTTCTCTTGAGTGCTTTTCCTAATTCCTTGTTGTGGTTTTTTTTGTTTTTTGGGGTTTTTTTTTTTTGGTACTGGGGATTGAACTCAGGTCCTTGTGCTTTCAAGGCAGGCAGTGGAACCACTGAGATAAATCCCCGGCCCCATTTACAAATTTCTTATGCTGTGAAAGTGTTCTTTACAGTGAGATCTGTTTCTAGCTCGGTGGGTATGAAATAAACAAGTAAAATCCTTAGATTATGAAAATATTTGGTACTTCCCACTTGATACTGAAGTATGAATCTTTTTAAACTACACATTTTTAAACTTTGGATAAATAACATTATATAAAAAATGTTATGGGGCCAGGGATTTAGCTCAGTGGTTTTGCCACCGGCTGTGCAAGCACAAGGACCCGAGTTCGATCCCCAGTACAAAAAAAAAAAAAAAAATGTTATGGCCAGAAGTGGGAGAACTTTATACACTTTAAATTTAAAATTTTTTAGAAATCTAATAAGAAGGGCTAGGAATTTAGCTCAGTGGTAGGGCACCTGCTTTTTGTGTGTGAAGGCCCGAGTTTTGATTCCCAGAAACCCTACCCAAAATAAAAATTATGTTCTGATTCATGTCAGGAAGATAGATAAAGGGAGGTTGGATTTGATTGGTACACACTGTGTGCATATGTAGAAACATTACATGAGCCCCATTAAAATGCATAATTAATATATGTTAATAAAAATAATAACTTTTAAAAAACTAACATGCAAAAGGTTGGTGTAAAATTCACATAGGTATAATGGTTTTGTCACTTATCACCAAGTCT